GCCGGGTGCAATTAGCCATAAAACATTTCAGTGGATAGTTTGGCAGTGTTGAATGTACGGAATGAGAGGAAGAGAGAAGCCAGAGGAGGGACTGTCTCCTTGCCTCTTCTCTGGAGACGTCCGGAAGTAGCACTTCCTGACACAAGAAGTGGGATATTTAGGTTATTTGCTCGAGAGGTCCGGGGAAGTGTCTGTCTGGAGGGTCTGTGTATACGTGTGTGTTCGGGGCGGGGGAGGGGTGGTGGTGCACTGGTGGTGGTATATCCTACTTTTAGAAAGTGTGTTTATCGTGGGGTGTCCTTGTCAGTGTTCTGCTGGTCTGTTAGAAACAGAGGGTCACACAGCAACAGGGCTCACAGTCTAACGTCCCTGTCCTCAATCCAGATGGACTCAAGATGTTGAGTACAAACACAACACACAATTTCTACTGCATTTACCTTTATCATATGTGTTCCCAGGAGAGGATATCATTACTCAATATGACTCAATATGCAAATTAGGCATTTTTCTTATCATATGTGCTCATTTGCACACATTTCCTGAACATAATTCTGAACATTGGATAAAACCAGGTTGCATTTAGTTGACATATCAGAGTGAAAGGGTTTTTACAGAGAGACATTTGGATATCTCTTTGTATCACTCCATAAAGAAAACCATAAAGAAATCAATTTTCTCCATGTTTTTAGTAATAAAATGTTGTATATGTTGAGACTATGAAGAATATGTGTGAACAAACCCCTCTGTGTTAACCTTCAGCACACAGAGAGGAATGAAAGTGTAAAGTTTGGTGAATGTAAGAGCTGCTGAAGTGGAGATTTATCATCAGTCTGAGAACAAACTCATTTAGAGGAAACGTCCTTTAAAGAGACGTTTAGTTACATTACAGACATTTAGAGACTCTACAGGTGTGAAGGTCTAAACAGTTTTGTATAGGGTCAAAACAGAATTAGACATGTCACCCTGAAACTCAGTTGATTTTTTACATTAACACAATATTTTTTTGTTTTACACATTTTCAGAAATGTTCTGTTTGAATATGCAAATGAGGCATTATCTAATGGTAACTTTTGGTGAATTTAGGAGAAATTAGACAAGATAGTGAACTAAACACCTAAATGTGTATTTTGGATGTTTTCTTTCCACCAGTCTAAAAGAAGACGTTATGGAAATATAATAGCCCAAAATCTCAATATTGACCGGTGCATGAAAAACTACATTTTTGCACACTAATGTCCATCGCATTAAAGTTGTATTGTTGTTTCTATGGAGTCAAATCTATGGAGCCAAATCCAGGTCAATAGTTTTGATCATTTGAAAAACAAATTTGAACCTGAAAAATACAGCAATGTATTCAAAATAAAAATAAGTGAATGAAAAGTTTTTTGGGGTTGAATATAATTTTGATTCAGTTCTGGAATTGTTTTGAATAAAATATTTATTTTCACTTTTCACCTTCATATATATTTTGATATTTGAGGTCTTATATTTTTCAATTTCAGATTTTATATTTTCAGATTCAAATCTTTTTTTTTTTCACTTTCAGATCGTTTTTTTTTCAGTTCAGACTTTTGTCCCTGATCTGGCATGGGGGGCGTGGCATCAACTGAGAGGGGTATGTAATCATGAGAGACAGCATAACAACTTCTTTGTCCTCAACCACGTTGCCTTCAGGTAAGGTAGGCACCGCGAGAATTATGTTTCAACACTTTCTATACACCATATTCACGTAAATGCAGTGGGGAAAAAACTCTGAGCGCCAGGCATAGTTCATCATCTTTCGAGTCCTATCGCACAATCTCACGCTCCACCTCCCCGACGGCCGGTGGTGTGCCCGATGCCGCGGGGCCGGGATCCCACCTAAGCCGGCACGCTGGCCCTCACTTTCATTACGCCCTTCACCCTCTGATTCGCGCGTGCGTTAGACTCCTTGGTCCGTGTTTCAAGACGGGTTGGGTGGGTTGCCGACATCGCCGCAGACCCCTGATACCTTTTACGTGAGCTGATCCCTGCCCCGGCGACGCGGTTGGGGCGCACTGAGGACAGTCGCGCCGGGAGCAGGGGGCCCCGTCCCCCCTTCAGGGAGAGCGGGCGCAGCGGGCACTTACTCCACGGCCCCGGGAAGCGGTGAGGTCCGGGCGGGGAGCGCTGAAAAGCACCTTCGCCCCTATAGTATCTTGGATACTTCCGGTTCGAGTAACCGTCATGTTGTGATGATGTCAGCAATGTGCGCCGGAGAGTGTGAAACACGAGAACATTAAAGATGGACGCCCAACGCGCCCTATGAGACAAACTGGTATCATTCATTTTACTTAAAGATACTTAAATGTCAGTAGAAACAGAATACTACAGCCCCGAGCCTTTCCAAGCCGATCTAGTACCGGTCGCAGCGCACCGCCACAGAAGATATGCGCCCGGCCAGGGCCAGCCAGCGCCGAGGACAGGTCCCTGTCCCGCCGAGTTGAATCCCCCGGGCAGACTGCGCGGACCCCACCCGTTTACCTCTCAATGGTTTCACGCCCTCTCGAACTTGAACTCTCCCTTCAAAGTTCTTTTCAACTTTCCCTTAAACCTTTCAAGCCCGAGCGAGGACCATTTGGGGTTCAAGCGAGACCGTTTAGCGAAGAGCGTGTCGTAGAATGCACTTTTCAGAAACAAATATACATACACAATACACAAATATAATGAATATATTATATTATTACATATTATATACCGATTTAACGAAGAAAATTCTGGGCAAAAACATCATGTAAGCCATTTTACACACTGCAAACACAATTATACACAAACTAATATCATATCTAGAAGACGTACCACAATATCACGTATTTTTCGCCATGACTTGGCGAGCCATGCACTCCGTACAAAGCTGCGAAGAAAAAGCTAACCACTAACATGGTCAACCGAGATAGCAAAAAGCACGAGCATTCAACACAGAGTCCACAGATATCTTCCAAATGTATCTCCCTGAAACCATTACAAAGATACAGCCAACAAGCACCAAAAAACCAAGCCGCTCCACCGCAGAAGAAACCATAAATGCTTCGTACCTTGAGACGAATCATGAAGAAAAATTATTCATATTCTGTTTTGCCAGCTAAAAACACTGTTGCTACGTATTTCCTGTGTTTTTTCAACTGTTTCCTGGTGAAAGTGGGGTCAGACGAGCCTGGGGGACCGTGGGGGGAAGGGAATTCACTTTCGGCGAATCAGTTTTTACGCAGGGTGGCACACGGCGTGTTTTGTTTTTTTTCCGGCTAACGATTCTGTCAATCAAGCCCACGTTACCAACCCTGCATTCCTGAGACTGACGCATCAAACAAGGTGTCATAGTCTCGAATTGACCAATCATAGGCTGTTATAGCCTCCACATACACACAGGCAGACGAGAATGGATGCATGGTTCACAGACACAGAGAGGCCTTAGAGAGGCCTCAGGCTCTCAAAATGATGCCAAACTGCTGTATTTGGATAGATTGAATATTATTAGTGATAAAACAAGTAAAATATATAGTTATATAGTTTAGCTTTCACCTGCATTATTAAAAAAAGATATTCATGCTTTCAGTGCTTTTTTTTCAGGCGAACCTGAAACTTCAATTTGAGCTGTGTGCCATCTTCATTCACTATTAACCAGTAACATATACACAATATTTACACATCTGAACACATCTCACAAGTGTTACCTGTATTATACCATCAAAATTATTAAAATAAACCTTGTAGTTATAGAATTACAGTCTTTTTAGTATGGGAAAGCAATTTTCGAGCAGAGGCCTAAAAATAGGGCTAGTGTTTACGTGTTGACTATCGGTCTCGTGCCGGTATTTAGCCTTAGATGGATTTCACCACCCACTTTGGACGGCATTCCCAAACAACCCGACTCCGAGAAGACCGGACCCCGGGCGACGGGGGCCGTTACCGGCCTCACACCGTCCACGGGCTGAGCCTCGATCAGAAGGACTCAGGCCCCCGAGCGACACCGGGCAAGCGGTCTTCCGTACGCCACATTTCCCCAATCCGCCCGCCGGACGAGGATTTGGCGCTGGGCTCTTCCCTCTTCGCTCGCCGCTACTGAGGGAATCCTGGTTAGTTGATTTTCCTCCACTTAATAATATGTATAGCGGTCCTGAGGTGCAAATCGGTCGCCCGACCTGGGTATAGGGGTGAAAGACTAATCGAGCCAGCAGCTGGTCCCCTCACCGAAGTTTCCTTCAGGATAGCTGGCGCTCACAGTTTTCCCCACTGCATTCACGTGAATATGGTGTATAGAAAGTGTTGAATCATAATTCTCGCGGTGCCCACGTTACCTGAAGGCAACGTGGTTGAGTAAGGTCGTCAGCCTTCTTTGTTATGCTGTCCCTCATGATGACACGCCCCTCTCAGTTGATGCCACGCCCCCCACACCAGATCAGGGACAAAAGTCTGAACTGAAAAAAAACGATCTGAAAGTGAAAAAAATTAGATTTGAATCTGAAAATATAAAATCTGAAGGTAAAAAATATAAGACCTCAAATATCAAAATATATATGAATGTGAAAAATGAAAATAAATATTTTATTCAAAACAATTCCAGAACTGAATCAAAATTATATTCAACCCCAAAAAACTTTTCATTCAAAGTAAGGGAAAGAGAAAACACTGAACTCATAGCAGATGTTTCCAAGTTGATACAGAAAACAAAGGCCTTGGAGAATCACAGTAGAAAACGTAATCAAAGAATTATTCGACTTCCAAATGGAATTGGAAGTGGCAATCCAATGGCCTTTGTGAGTAAACTAAAGAGGTGGTCGGTCGTCCACCACTTACAGTTTCAACCTACAGTTGCTCACCGTACTGGCTTCGCCTCTAAAGTCCAGGGACGGTAGGGACAGAATTGCCCCTTGTACTAACCAGATAGATATAAGTAGGCTACCCATAGCTCAGTGCAGCTTACCAGGCAGGCAACCAATAATGTTGCAGTTCCTGCTATGACGCCGGAGAGTGAACACTTCCCTATATCCTTTCTGGCTTTAGCGATTTCACCAATTTTTACACTGGGCCTTTCAAACGGAGAGAAACCTCCCAAAAAAGCAGCAAAGTCTCTCTGGAATTTGCAGGTTCTCCCTGGACAATGTCTCAAACACAAAACAAACTTATCGTTGCTACCTTCCAATGATATTGGAACCCCACAACCCACACAATCGTCCCTGCTTTCTCGCCATACTTGACTGCTCAGACATACTGGACGAGCACCTTGAAATCTGCAGAGAATGTCAGCAACCCAGAAGCGATCTCACTCGCACTCATGTGGCTTATTCCCTTCACCAGAGGAGGGATGCCACCTCTGACTGGAGGATTTGAACTGTCTTGCACGCTGTTAGCCAACTTTCAAGGTCCACTCTCAGCATGGGTCCTAACAAGGCCGGTTCATGAGTCCTGCAAGCGATGGACCTTTTCATTGTCATTCTGTTGCTAGGGCAACAATTTTGGTCCAATTCTACTTTCTGTCAGCTACTGCATTAACAAAGATTGCAAGGCCCACTTAGAATGCTTACATTGTTAAGTTTGAAAAGGTATATACGCCGGAAAGAAGAGGCACGAAAAGGGCTGCTGGAGGCCACCAGAGACAGCGATGGGATGGTGAGAGTGCGCAGCGACTTTAAACCACAGACAGAAAGATCGAATAACAAGGGAATAAGCAATCTAGGGAGGATTCTTGCAGACAAACACACAAACTAATCCTCGTAAGTAGCTTCAAGGCTGTAACAAACTCTTTCTCTTTCTATCAATACCACAACAAGGATTGTCACACTGAGCACCCTGACTCCAGTGGATATAAACAATCAGTTGTTCCACAGCTGCTTAGGTGTTTTATAGGTAAATCATAGGGCGTGGTCTGTATCCAAATAGCCTGACCCCAGGAGGATCCTTCGCAACAAAGTGCAGAGATAGTCTTCTAAGGATAGAGAACTGAAGCTGACACATCATTTGTTATGATGTTGTTCCAGACAACCAAACAGGATTCATCCACCCTGTAAAAAATTCAAAGAACAGAAATCAAAAACTCACTCACACGTTTCTGTTATGGATGCCATACTTGTTTTATTGTGCTGGATAAAACGCAGTAAATATCTATACAGATGTTGTTTAGCAGGCAAGCATAATTTGTAGTGAAATGAAAGACAGTAATACTATGTGGATAGAGAAAGCAACACAAGTTAGATACGGTAGAGGACATTTGAAATGATACAGAAGGAGCAAGGCAGAGGGAGAGACAGAACATCTCTGCTACTACGAAACATTGCATCATTAGAAAATCTTTTTTCAAAGGTTACATGTCCAGTCTTACCAAACGGTGACTGAGAGGCAGAGAAAAACAATCTTATAAAATTCATCCCCCACAAAAATAAACTCTATATATATAAAAAATTAAAATGTTCTCCATATGCTCTTGGACACCTGAAATGTTAACAGTAAGTTTGAAAATGAGGTAAAAGTAGGCCTTTCTGGAGGTAGCAACTTGTATTTGATTGTACTAGAACATGATATCATGAAGAGAAAACTTCATTAAGACTCCCAGAGCTGAAAGCTTGTCAACAGCTTCTACAATCACTCTGCCCAACAGCGAGGTAGCATCGCCTCCAGAGAAGTTCAGCAGGGGGTTTGGATTCTACTGAACTCCAAGGAAGGAAAATGACTAACTTTAAAAAGCTCGAAGCCTGGAGCTTGATGGGCTCAGTTGTGTCACTTAGACCCCATTTACACCTGGTACTATCACGTGATGCACGTCTTGTTTCCTTTTCCAGATAGATGCATGCTAATAGCATGCTAATAGCAGGTCCACATGGGGTCCGTCTGGCTGATGGATGGTGTGGTGTTAAATGATGAAGCCTCCATTAATTCAAAGCTACTGATCAGCCATCAACAGCTGCACACAGTTCTTGGAGTATTCCTTAGGTAGCTCATTTAACAGCAGCTTGTGATTCTCTCTGTTTGGATTGGTTGGATTATTAGAAACAGCATTGCCTGCAAAGTGTCTGCATAAGTATTGATGGCATTAGAAATATATTTAGTAACTTGTAATTACTGGTGTAGTTTTCCAAATCATACTGCCTTCTGACACTTAAAATACATTTTTTTGGGAGTTAATTATGTCTCATCTCTGTTCGTCCAATTAAGTACGGAAGCCCTGAGAGGAAAGTGAGAAAGCAAAAGGTTATCCTTATTCAAATTCTGATATAAACCATTTGGTCTCCTGTGTTTAAGACCAAAGAACAGGTTTCACCAAGAATATTGTTTTAATTTACCGAACGTTTAATCCTATTTAGAACATGTGGCAGGGCTGCACTTCAGCCTCTTGTGGCTGAAATGAGTATTACCACAACAAACACTTTCAACTGTTTTGACAAATTAAAAAAAGGAATAAAAAAGAAAATCATCCTGGCCAAAAAAAATCTTGCAAAACGTTTTTTTCCAAATTTTGAATTAATCAAGGTGATAATTTGCTTTGCAGTTTGAAGGCACCTTATGATCCAAAACATTGTGCAGATTGTTGGTTGGTGAGAGTTTACCACAACCTGTGCTAAGTGGCCACGGTTCCATTCTGGTGTTGCTGATGAAGGCAGGTTTGACAGGATCAACGTAGCTCCTCCTCTGAGGCTCTACCTCAGGCCCAGTTTAAAATACCATGTCAACTTTTCAAAGGTTGCCATGGTGACAGGTGAAAAATGGTATAATCCATCATTAAGTAAAAAGCAATTCCATTTCCATCTGGTTTAACCATATCACAAGAAAAGAAAATCACATTTGTGTGAAGTACACAAAACAGCTAATCAAGTATATCGATATCTACTAATTAAACACATTAACACATATTCATGAATACACTATACAAAATCCAGACATATCTGTTTCAAAACCTGAAAGTCACTTTGAGGGTGAGAATGTACTGCGATTGGAAGCTTGATCTGATACATTAAGTAAGGAGCTTCTGCAGTCCTGATATGACCATAGCATACATGTATGTGAAGAGACTGGAGGTAGGTATTTGTTGATTGATTAGTCCATTTTTAACGGTCTGTTTGAGGTACTGTACATTTACAGGTAGTAGATAACTCAGGATAAACAACTCGAAGTATTCAAACCAAAAAAACAACATTTGTAGTTATATCATGTAGTGCCATAAAGACACTTGATCCTCATTAAACCATTGTGTAAATCAGAACAAAATAAATTCAAGTTGACGAAGTCCCAGTTTGCAGAGGATTCTGTTTCATTACAATGTTGAGATACAAATTAACATTAAGGTAAATAAGAAAAACAATATGTAATATGCTAGCTGCGTTTGTGTTGTAAGTATTATAAACAGGCCACTGAATGGAGGCTTTTTCCAGGAATCTCTAAAGAAGATAACGTCAGGACAGTCAGTGCCAAGTGATGATGGAGACAAACTCTCAAGACTTCACTTCAATTCTAGGAAGAGATTTTGTAGAGAAACAACCAAAGCTGAAGAAGATGACGACTGTAACATTTGATGCACGGTCTAACTATGGACAAATGGATTTAGAAACTGCAAAAGACTGCAGGCTTGAGAGTCGTCTACAATTAAAGGAAAAATTCAGATTTTTTTTTTACCTGTGTCTTATTTCTAAAGTTTTGACCATCATGTCTGAAGGTTATGATGACATTTCAGTCACATTGCTAATATCTGGCAACTCTTCACAAAAGAGGTTGGAAACAAGTGAAGACATTCTCAGATTAACAGGTGAATGTAGAAAACAGACAAATGTTACAGGGTGGATAACTAATGGCCCCGCATCCATCTCACTATCAGTGAGGAAGTCTTCCTGCCTTGTGTAGGAATGAATCCCAACAAGTGTCATTAAAGTTTTTACCCAAATATCAAGCGAATTCTAAAAAACTTTTTAAATGTTGCAAAAAAAAGAAATGCGAATTTCCATCAATTGTTTCCATCAATTGGTTTGAGCAAAAAAAATCTTGGCGAAAGCATAGACCTGTAAACAGAGCAGAAGAAGTAGAAGTTGCGAACCGGAAACAAAATAAGTCATCTAACCATCTACGGAAGAGAGCTCTTCGGGAATTACTTTTAATTGGCCAAGTTCCAGTTGTGTTGGCTCGTATCAGCTATGTTCCATGCTGTCCGGAGACGAACACGGTATAAATATATATGTAAACAGCAGATCAGTCACGTGAGTTAAATGTTCGCTACGTCAGAATTTATTCGCCAAAGGCGTTTTCCATAATCCATATCGCGCATCAACTATTTCTTGTCAAAAAAAAACTCAAGCGAGCGTAAACATTTTTTTTCCACAATTGAGGACGTTTTTTAAATTTTTGCTGTTGCCATACAAATTTTTTTATGCGATACTTCAACGTGCGCATAAAAAATGTCTGCTGTGATTTTTGTACAGCTAATTCCAGAATCTACTTAGTTTGTGGTTTAAAAACACACTGAGCAGTTTAAAACGATATTTCAGGTGTAATCAGGTTTGGTTATCCCTTTTAATATGTTGTTCTGACAATGTGGTTACAGCGCCACAACCTTTTTTAGGTAAATATTGTAATCTAATGTTATCTGTATGGATGAGTTTTAATAAACATTCTTCATGTCTGTGCACTCCTTGTAAAAGCATTTGTAGACCCGTCATAACCAACAGGACAGATGGTCACAGCTGCAGCAAAGACCTTTCCTTTAATGTTGATGCACATGGCTCCTCATGTCTGACTTTTGCTTCTTTCTGGATTACGCAGTGTTTACCTGACTGAATTAAAGGAAACAATCGCAGACAAATTCCCCCATGACAAGACAACAACCAACCGGCATGACCTCGCTTTAATGTACAGTATAAAGTTCGCCCTCTGAAGGCACACTGCCTTGCCTGGCATTGGTTTGTGTGCTGAGCAACAGCTTCCGTTAGCTGGTTGTGCTGAGTCAGAGGTAGTTTGAAATCATGAGAGGAGATATTGCATATCAGTTATTAGCATTAATAACTTAGTAAGCGTTTGCATACCATCAGGTTTTGTCCGATGTCACGTTGCCACTAAATCCAGGTATCAAGTGATCCATGAGGTAATGTGTGGTTTGATCTGGTGGATTTTGTTCTTGAGGTCTATTATCTTTGACAGTGTGAGGTCAATGATGGAATCAAGGTTTTAAAGCTAAGAACAAACTGAATGAATGCATTATGTGGATTTTAAAGCTGTCATGTTTTTAAACTGCCAAAAGGAAGAGACTCCAAATTGGTTGATTTAAGTTCTAAAGATTATTAGTTAATTAAATGGTCTTTTCGTTGACATTTAACAACCGTCCTTTAACGTCCTGCCCTGTGCTCTGATATTGTGGTCTAATGCCTCGTAAGTGTACCAGCAGAGCATCTTACATTATTATCTTCATTTCTGCAAGCTAGTGGAATTTACCACTGCTATAATTAGCAGTAATCCATCGAAGGCATTCAACTGATCCTTAACGGATGTTTGATTAAGGGCATGGTTGGTGTTGGCCATGGTTAAATGACGAACATTTACACTGACATTTCCAACTCTGCATTGGGTGCTGCTTCTTCCCTGCATATTTCTAGAGAGAGCGGATACAGGAAGATGGTCTTTTTTATTTAAATGTAAAGATGATGTTTGGGGACTCAGTCTGAGGCAATGCTAACGACTTGAGCAAGTTCTTTTTAAATGGCTTTAAGCCAACATGATGGATAAACCACTGCCCTGAGGAAGGATCTCTGTGTCTCCCTGTGATTGGTGACCTAACAGTCTGGGTGAGGGGTGGGCGGGTTGGTTTGTTTTAGAAATATATTGGAACAGTCTCATTTCTGCATCGATGTCTGGAGAGTCATTCACTGTGTCAGGGTGTGTGAAAAACTGTGTGTATGTGCACCTCAGTACAATAGAGTAGTCTTCAGAATGATGCTCCCTCTGCTAAAGCTCTCACTCGTGTGAAGATGATGATGCTCTGAGGACCCTGAATCAAAAACAGCCAAACATTTACGTACTCATTGTGTCTCGTTGAGGAGTGTAGGTGTGTTGTACAGGGCCGATGTTGTGTCTGTCTGTTGCCTGATTTGTTTGTTTTGAGAGCCAGACTGTGTGGAGCTGAACTCTGTGCTTGTTTGAATCTGTTCGGCCGATAAGAGCTAACACCGATAAGAGCTAACACCGATAAGAGCTAACATTGATAAGAGATATCACCGATACAGCTACTAAAATTTTCCTTTTGCTGCATTCGGTATGGCCTATGTTAAAATGTATGAAAGGGAATTTAAAGGCTGAATGTTTTTGCTGGACATTTTTGCCCATTGAGTGACAGAGCAAAGGTGTAAAATTCTCTAACTGAAATCAAACCGAGTAAAATAGCATGTGGGAAAAAGTCAAAAATAAGTGGTCAAGGCAGTCTTTTCCCTTTGAAAGACCTGACAGCTGAATGAGGTAGATTTCATGGTGTGGCAGCTTAGTCCTCCTCTGGGCTCTCTCCAGCCTCTTCTTCATCCTCTTCTTCCTGTAGATAAAAACAAGATGGTCTGTGTCATTTAAACTCTTTCAACTCCTGTTGTAGAATGCAAGTTATATATGTATACAATATATATGTCTGTGTCTCTGACACTGTGATGAGCAACACAGGGGGGCCCCACAAGGGACAGTCCTGTCACACTTCTTTTTCACCCTCTGCACATCGGAATTCAGATACAACTCCAAGTCTGTAAAGGTCGTCTGTGCAAGCAGCTTATTACGACCCATATTTACAGTACTTGTTGGGCCATAGTAGAGTTATGACAAGAGCAAAGGAGGAAGTAAGGTAACGTAGTATAAAGAGCGACAAAGTCCGCGTAGGGAGGAGGTCGGAGTGGATGGATGGGTAAAACACTGGCGTTATGTTCATGTCCTGTGTGAAACAAAAAGTCAACACGTTGAGTTAATGTTTGTACATAACTAGTAACTACGTCACAAACTTGGGTATAACACAAACATACTTATTTGAACCCGAAACATGATCTTTTCCTAAACCTAACAAAGTATTTTTGTTGCCTAAACAAAACCAATTCATAATGTTAGCTACATGTTTAAAACCATGATGGTGCAAATGTTTCACGTTTAAGTTGCCACAAGGAACTTTCATTTTGTGTCAATGTCAACAAAAGTGGTAGTGTCTCTGAGCACCAGAGTCCCTTCAGAAAACATTCATTTTACTGCAGCAGGGTCTGACAGTCTGCCTCGCTCAGTCCTGGTTCTGTTTCTCCCGTGCCTCCCTTCCCTCCAGTGGGCCCAGCAATACAGCCTGGTTCTCCATCAGCGTGGTGTCGGTGTTGGCTCCCACTGGGGACCCGAGGAGCAGTGAGGCCAACCTCTGCTTCTGGACAGAAGAGGAGACTCTGCTTCCATGCAATGAGCTATCTCTCATCCTGCCGGAGCTTCCAACTTCAGATCGTAGGCGACACAGAAGACGGATCTTGGTCTGTACGTGTCAGGCTGGTCTCTGCTGGAGGTCTGGAGTCTGAGCTGAAGGAGTTTCTGGTGAACCTGCATGATTTCATCTGCTCTCACCATAATAACTATATCAAAATAGACAGTCTTCTTGCTGACTGTCTTGTTTACTGATGAAGGTCATAAAGAGTCATCAGTTAAAAGCTCCTCACTGTAACTTTAAATAGAATGTTCGTATATGCAGTGTTTGCATGCAGTCATTGGCTATTAACTATTCTGTGTTTTAGGTATGAGGACTCTTCTGCACATCCAGTTCCCTTTGGATGAGTTATCATATCTTGTTTCATACAGAGTGGCTCGCACTTCAAGGTGAGGAGGACCACAACCAGAGCTGTTCAGTCATCTGTTGATAGGGTTAATGAAGCAGCATGGCCACAAAGTGAATGCTTAATCTCCGACAGGAAACGCTCATGTGCATGATGAGACAGAGCCATCCCTGATGCAGAACCAACATACTGTTTTGACCCTGATTAACAAGTCAAGTCAAGGCCACATTTCATTCAGTTAATGCTTACAAGGTTCTTGGTGGGATTAAATCACAAACTCACTTTGGCCTGTGGTCTGTCCTCAGATCTTTATCCCTTCATTTATGGCTTCATGCCACTTTAACTACGTGTCCTAGTTTGATGGTACTATACAGTATACCAAGTGAGTGTCACTGCGACAAAGTCATAAGAATAATCTTCATTTGTGCTCGCCATGCGTAGCTGTCACCTTTGTTTCCCGTCTATTTGCTTGTGATTTATCTGGTGTAATGCGTGTAGACACCAATGGAGGACTGAAGATCCTGCTGCAGTACTGCTAATGTGCTGTTTTTGCTCTGCAGCCAGTATTGAAGGTGTTAAACTTCATTTATACTTCTGGATTTAGTGGTTAGCAATAGCTAATGTGGTTACGAGCATAGCCTTAATAGCTAGTATGGTAATTGCTGGGAAAATTAAGTTTTGATTCAAACACTTCTGATTCCTGACGTGTGTATGTTTGGACTGAAAGAAAAAGAAACTGTGTGGATTTAATTGTTCCATCAATGTGCTGTGTACGCAAGTATCAAAGCATAACATCAAGCACATTTTCTTCTTTCACTCCACTCAAGCATAAAAACATTGCAACATTTACATAATTTTAGGTGTGTATTTGGGGTTTTCTTTGAGATAGAGACTTCATTGCTGCTGTGTTAATGATGGCTCACTAACCCTAAATGTCTCTGTTTTCCCAGGATAAGTGCACGATGACCGCTGTGACAACTGGCGGGGTGGGGGGGAGAGAAAAAACATGTTCCTCCTTCCTCCTCAGATGAAATGGATTTCATTTTCCACATGGCTTCATTTTATTCAGGGAGGCTAACTGACACAATTTATAACCCTCTTCCTTTCCCAGGCCGTGGCGGTTCCTACTCCAGTCATTAGTGCTCACACACTTTGGGCTTTAAAGGCCCGCTAAATGCTACCATGTGTGACAAGGGCAAGTGAGCGCAGGAGAGAAAAAAGGTGGTGGTGGTGGTAGCGTGGGTGGGGGACAAAAAAATAAACTTTAATCCTATGGCTCCCCACCCCACCCACACAATCATTCTACAAGGAAGAAAGTATTTTTCATTAAAGCCTGCAGTTTACCCAAGCTGGTGATTGTGTTTACGATCTTTCCAAGGCTTTTTATATGGTTGATCACTACCTCCTCCTTGATAAGCTCTATTCTATGCGTTTGAACTCAAAATGCTCTCCTTTGGTTTAGTTCTTACTTTTATAACGGTCGTCCCCGTTACTTTTATAAAGGGGACGACCGTGGCTCACTGGGTTAGAGGGTTGTCTGGTAACCGCAGGGCCAACAGTTCGATCCTCGACTGGGACGTGTCACATGTCGTAGTGTCCCTGAGCAAGACACTGAACCCCGGGTGCCTGTCATTGGCAGCCCACTGCTCCCTACAGGGATGGGTCAAATGCACAAGGCAAATTTTGTGTATATGACAATAAAAATGGTTTCTTCTGGTTTCTTAATAGGCATCAATGTGTAGTCTTTCAGGGTTCTCAGTCTGAGTATTTCATTGTTGAAAAGGGTGTTCCACAAGGCTCTTTTTCTCCTTTTCTCTACATTTATTTTGACTTACCTTAAATATGTTCTAATTGTCATGTTCATCTTTGTGCGGATGACACTGTTATTTACACTTCTAACTCTGGTATACTACAAATCCAGTATTCTTTACATTCCGAGTATAACTTTGTACAAAACTGGTGTCATAACAACAAATTTGTGCTGAATGAAAAAGGTCCTGCAGCATGGTGTTTACTATGCAACACAGTCCTCCGATTTGCATATTACTTATAATGATGGGTCACCCCTTGAGAAAGTTGATTCATCCAAATATCTTAGACTTTGGATTGACACAGAACTTTCCTTTAAGCCACACATTGATAGAATATTATAAAAAGAACACATGGTTGTCTGAGTTCACTTTATCGCTTATTTAATTCTTTTACATTTCACATTAGAAACATAATATTTCTCCATTGATACTACCTCTTATTGATTATGCTGACATTGTCTGTCAGAACACCTCTGACACTTATCTTAAGCCCCTTCATGTTGTGTATAATTCTCTATGCAGGTTTCTTTTGAGGTGTCCATATAGAACTCACCATTTTTTCTTGTCAATTAATTGGCAACAGCTTGAATCTAGAAGGCAATTTCACTGGGTTCAGTTCATCTTCAAATGTGTTTATTTTGATTGTCCTTCCTATTTGAAACCATAAAGATTTTTATATCCATATCCATTTTTTTCTTTGTCCCTAGGATTTTCAAAGAAAACGGGCACAGGTCATTCCAATGCAAAGCTCCTTTTGATTGAAATAACCTCCCTCTTTCTCTAAGATCAATTGCCTCCTTCCAATGCTTGAGGACCTCTTTATTTTCTTATCTTAAATCAACCTCCTTATACTTTAAATTTGTGCATTATTTCAGTCTAACTGAAGTCAGTTGCTATTTAAGTTGACGTGATTTGTTAATTTATCACATGAGTCATTATCATTGTAATCTTGTGTAATAGCTGAGGGCTGAGGTGTGGGTGGGAGAGGGTAAGTGAGCCGTCTGTATCTGTGTTTTTATAGTGTATGTTATGATGTTTTTGTATCTATAGGACCCCCTCGAAAATGACATGCTACATCCTAAGGGGCTATTCTTTAATCAATTCAATTAAATTCAAACTGATCCATCAAAGCATCATCAAGCTATTTTAGATCTAGCAGGACTTAATTGTTTGTCATTGCATTCCCAAACCACTACTGATCAATTTTACAAAAATATTCATTTTTGGGTTTTCTACCACTAGCCTTTGGACTAGACAAAAGTGACTCGACAAAAATGTCTTAATGAAACTTAGTAAAGCTCTAGTGTCAAGATCTTGTTGACGTTTGCAAGAACAATAAGCAAAATAAATCATCCCGAATAGAAACATTACAAACTGGCATGGGATTTGCACAGCCCATGACAGGAGGGCACTGCAGTGGACGATTAAAACTGCCTAGAACATAATCTACCGAGCATCAGTGATATCGGTGAGGTGAGGTGCCTGCACAGAGCCCAAAGGGTATTAAAAGACAATACCCACCAATCAATATGCTGTTCACCCTGCTGCCATTGGCAAAAGATAAAGAAGTATCTGTTGTTTTACCACCAGACTTCAGAGCAGCTTCTTTTCTCAGGTTGTGAGACTCCTCAACTCATCCTTAGTACTACATTTTATTTCCGCAGTATAAAGGGACTGACACTCGCATTTTGTTGTGAAACCGTGTGTTGTAAATTTATAATTGAACATTGGAAAGGGTGAACAGGGGATAACAGCACCCTTTCTGATAGCCGCTCTTCGAAGGCATCCATAGTGTTGCACTCATTTGTGTATGAGAAGTATGTACCAAATCTTGCATATTTGGCCAACTCCACATACACACCTACTACTTGCTTAAGAACAGAGACAGACTGTCATGATGGTGAAACCAACTTGAAAGGAAATAGACAACACTTTTCTGTGTTAAAGTTACAATTTCTTGGCCCATCCATCCACTGTTACCTCCTCCAAACTACGTTTTGTTGCTGCCTACTTGTCAGATACCAGTTTTAGTGTTGTTACAGTCATTGCATTTTTCTGTGTACAATAATGCAGCAGGAAAATGGCTGGGGGGGGCATCAACATTTAGGGGGTAGCCATAATACCCAATATAATGTCTTTTGGTGTGAGATCATCATTGGGAACTGGGACACCATCTCTCCAACCGCATGATGGTTTGCTAACTGCCACTAAAGAAACTGAAGAGGAAAAAATGTTTTAATTGTTAAAATGCTGGCGTGAATATCTAATGACTGTTTGGTGCAGACTTGGCCTACGCTTGAAGTTATAGCCTACCTCACTCCAGATTCTCCAATACCCCACTTCCATCACTTACACTGTTTGTTAGCCCTAGTTTGACTGAGCCATCAATGAGGAGAGATATTCAGACTTTTGAACTTGTGTTTTTTTAAGCAAATAAATAACAAAAAAATCCTGGTTGGCAGCAGTAGCCAAAACTTCCAATAGGAAATTGTGCTTAAAAATTGTGCCACCCTGAGCACTGGACTGAAAGGGGTCTGAGGTTTTGTACAGGCTGGTGGGAGATAAAGCAGCCTATCAAAGTGGGAGAACTAAATTACATTTTTATGGCTTGCAGCTCCCAGGGCCTCACAGCGCCTCCCAACTGCCTCAGCCCTGTTCCCACACAGCCACAAATCAGAGCCGAGTTATGCATTCACACCAAGAAGTGGCCCGCACCAGTGAACAGACGGGAGGCTGGTGGATTCCTGGAGTGTGAGGGAATGCTGGGGGTGGGGGGGTCCTGTGTCATGTTGCACTCACTTATTACCATTCGGCTTTCATTCTCCCTCTGATGTAGGTGCTCACACCAGTAACACAAAACAGCATCTAATTATCTGCTACATATGAACAGTCCCACATGGAGGGACCGCAGTTGACTTTGGAATTTATCTCCAAGACAATAACTCTCGTCTCATGTCACCTCTTTTCTTGATAAAGTCACTCCTGTATTTACAGATGTGACTTTTGCCACAGTTCTCATCCGGCCTAACCTTTCATGAGTAAAAACACTAGCATTAGTGTAAGCTTCAGCTGCAGGCAGAGTTAATGTTGCAGTAGTCCGACTCCAAGGATGTAGACTGTGCCTATAAGCCGGCCATTTCAGACGGAGTTCTCCTCCCCTTCCGCTATGCGATTGTGATGGTTTTTAAGAAATACAAACAACTCAGAACCTTGTTTCCCTTAGTGCAGAGTTATGATGGGTTCAGCCAGACCTTCTCCCAAAGTGTGCAGATAGGTCTGGCTATGCAAGACTATAAGGATGTTCAAAGCCTTTGAGAAGCTTGACAAGAATCATAATTCCACCACTTAAACTGATGACACAAGATACCCAAGATATGAGACCCATAAAAGACAAAAAAAAAAAAAAAAAGTAGCAATAAAATATGTTTGCCTGTCAAGGTCTTCTGGTTGAGTCAGTCGAGTCAGGACAAAAGTTGGAGGTAGTGTGCAGTTATTAGCTAGGGAGGAGATTGGGATGGATGTAGCACCAAATCTTGTAACTTTTACAAACTCCCACAGTGAGTTTTTTCACTATGTGGAATAGACTTTAACCCAGGACAACCTAGGTCATATTTTCATGGCCTTCATTAGGGATGTCACGAGAACCAATGCTTTGGTAGCAAGTCGATTCCAAAATTTCTATAAACGTGACAGTTTTTCTGCATTACCGGAGGTACAGGTGTTGCAATTCTTCCGGGCCTGGCGGGGGCACATTTACTCCGCAAGTGCTCTAGTCTGCCGTTACATGCCAATGAAAGAAGAAGAAGAATGCCTACTAGCGCAGAAAAACAACAACACGATGAAGATGGCTACAAGTTCAGCTGCAGCTCCTTTGAAAAGAAAAACAGTAAGTTTTGTTTATGGAAGTACTTTGTGTTCAAGGTGGATCATCGGGGATTAAAAATAAATGCGTGAAAAATATGCAAGTGGTGACATTGAACCTTTCAGAATTACAACTCAATTTACCTTAACTTGAAGTATACAATAACACTATCCACACAAAGTAAAAATGTTAGAGTCATGTGTTGGAATACAAAATAACATGTAGTCTAATTAGAATTACACAGTCATTTGTCCTGCAAGTGTGTGTGTGTATTTGCACAATCTGTGATCTTACCTGAGTAAGCTTTTTCTGGACGACTTGCTGCGGCTGCAAGAGAGCAGAAGGGAGAGGTTAGTGTTGTTCCTCTACCAGATATCACTAACAAGAAGATAGATAGATATATACTTTATTCATCACGCAAGGGGAAATTTGTTCGCTACAGCAGCAAAAAATATACTAAGCAATCAAAGTGAAGTAAAAATATTAAGTATAAAAAAATGCACAGTATATACAATGAAATAGATTAGTATTAATCTATCTAACTAGATAAACAAATCAGTCGTGCAAAGACAGTGTAGCGATGGAGCCCCGGCGTCGGCCATCAGACCTCTGGAGCTTGTCCAGAAAGCTGCAGCTCGTCTTGGAGTTCTCCCACACAACTTGCCTTCTCCGTTCTCTACACTGGCTCCCTGTAAGAGCTCGCATCCAGTTTAAGACTCTGGTGCTAGCCTACAGGGCAGTGAAAGGGACAGCTCCTTCCTATCTCCAGGCCATGGTCAAGCCCTACACCCCCGCCCGACCACTTCGCTCTGCTGCCTCGGGGCGATTGGTTGCCCCGTCGCTCAGAGGTCCCTACGGCCGATCGACCCGGTCGCGGCTGTTTTCTGTCCTGGCCCCACAGTGGTGGAATGAACTCCCCACTGACGTCAGGACAGCAGAGTCGCTGCCCATCTTTCGGCGCAGGCTGAAAACTCACCTCCTACCCTGAGCCTTCCACTTAGCATCTTTTGTATTCATACTAGCTTATTGCAGTTATTGTTGTCTTATTAGTTTGTGGCACTTATTGCATTCATTTGTTTCTGCACTGTACGTTGGCTCTGGTTTATGCTCTTAGATGCTTGTTTGAGGAGAGGAGATGCACTTACGACTTCTGGTGACTAGTTGTTCTCTCGAAAACCGATGTTGAAAACACTTATTGTAAGTCGCTTTGGATAAAAGCGTCTGCTAAATGACTGTAATGTAATGTAGTCAAGTGAATGATGATTTGGCCAGAGGTGATTTATTATAAAGTCTTATTGCAGAGGTCAGGAATGTTCTCCTGTATCTGTCCATGTGACAGCGGAGCTGGAGCAGTCTGTTGGAGGGAGTGCTCCCCTGTCCCTGCAGGAGGTGGTTGAGAGGGTGGTTCTGTCACGATTCTCGGGCAGAGCAAAGACTGAAGAGCAGAGACGAGGTGAAGTTGAAAACAAGGTCTTTTACTGGTCACCAAAAAAGTAATAAACAAAAACTTAAAGTGACTCCAACAGGGAGCAAGCAAAAATAAAAAAAAGGCAAAGTCAAAAACCATTGAACAAACACGAGGGATCAGCACGGGAGACACGAAGAGCATGAGGGGATGAACAATGACGATCTGACAACCGGAACAGGGAAAGCAGGAGAGTATATATGTGTGGGGTGATGAGTAGATTGCAGGCAGGTGAGTTGAATGAGTGCAGTGTGGAGTTGGCAGAGGAAAAAGCCAGGGGCAGGTGATTGAGCACAGGTGAAGTGAATGAGAACGATCAGTAGACACTCTGAGGAGACACACACGAGGCAAAGCCTAATCATGACAGTAGTACCCCCCCCAAGGGACGGATTCCAGACGTGCAAAGACAAGGAAGGGTGGGCAGAGGGGTTCCAGAGGAGGGAACCAGTGGGGCTTGTCTCTACTGGCTTAACCTTGGAGATGGGGAAGGGACCGATGAAATTAGGCGCTAGCTTGCGAGGCTCCACACGGAGGGGAAGATCCTTGATGGGCAGCCAGTCCCTCTGTCCCACCCGGTAGTGAGGGGCTGGGGTGCGGTGCCCAGCGCGATCAGGAACTGGAGGACGCTGCAGCTCTGAGGCGGCAGCGGTAGGAGCTGCAGCAGGAACTGGAGGACGCTGCGGCTCAGAGGAGGCAGCTGGAGTCGGCCGGACCGCCGACGGGACACGGGGAGCTGGAGTCGGCCGGACCGCCGACAGGACACGGGGAGCAGGTGTAGGCTGCAGCCCAGCGGAGACAGGGAATTGCTGCAGCCTAGCGGCGATGGGGAACTGAACCTTCTTCCCATGTCTCATAAGGTTAAAGTGGCGGCTTAGCCCGAGGTTAGCTTCCTGGAAACTCAGAGGCCCTCCCAAGGCCAGGCGGGTTCCCAAAAACTGGTCAGACGGATTAGGTGCATCGCACACCAAACGGTGGTCTGGTAAGGAGCCCGGAGGCTTGCAAGGCACATTAGGGGAGGCAGATAGGAGACAAGATGAGTGACATTTGATCTTTAACCTCCTCAGAGAGTCCAAACAAGAAGGCGTCTGACAGAGAGGGATCGTTCCACTGACTGTCTGCTGCTAGGGTGTGGAAGCGGATGGCATAATCAGCCACCCGGCTGCTCCCCTGTCGGAGAGAAAAAAGTCCTCGTGCCGACTCTCTGCCCGGGGTCTCGTGGTCGAACACCCTTCTTAGGGCCCCGGAAAAGTCCAAAACAGAGCGGCAAATAGCAGATTGATTGTCCCACTCTGCTGTAGCCCATTCCCATGCCCTCCCTGAGAGGTTTGTGATGATGAACGCCACTCTGGACCATTCGGTGGGGTAGGACAAGGGCTAGAATTCGAAGTTGAGTGAGCATAATGATAGGAAGGAGCAACACGTGGCAGCGTCACCGTTGTACCTCTCAATGTGTGGCACTCGGGGTTCGGGGTGCGACTCGGGTGAAGTCACCGGAGCCACTGGAGCCGGTGGACCTTGAGGTGCTGGTTCCACCGGAGACCGCGGGTTGAGGCTGGCGAGCACCTGCTGTGTCTGGTGGTTGAGATCCCGCAGCTGGTCCGTTATGGCGGCTTGAAAAGCATTCTGGCGAGCGTGAACGTCGCTGGTCAACCCGGAGAGCAACCGTCCAAACTCCGGTGCCCCGCCGGCCAACCCGGAGAGCAACCGTTCGAACTCCGGTGCCCCGCCAGCGGAGAGCAACCGTTCGAACTCCGGTGCCCCGCCAGCCAACCCGGAGAGCAACTGTTCGTAGTCATACAGTTTCTTCCCTTGCGTCTGGAGAGCGAAAAGCATGGCGGTATTCTCTGCTGAGTCTGTCATGGTCAGATCATTCCGTCACAATTCTGGGGCAGAGCAAAGACTCAAGAGCAGAGATGAGGTGAAGTTGAAAATAAGGTCTTTTACTGGTCACCAAAAAAGTAATAAACAAAAACTTAAAGTGACTCCAACAGGGAGCAAGCAAAAATAAAAAAAAGGCAAAGTCAAAAACCATTGAACAAACACGAGGGATCAGCACGGGAGACACGAAGAGCACGAGGGGATGAACAATGACGATCTGACAACCGGAACAGGGAAAGCAGGAGAGTATATATGTGTGGGGTGATGAGTAGATTGCAGGCAGGTGAGTTGAATGAGTGCAGTGTGGGGTTGGCAGAGGAAAAAGCCAGGGGCAGGTGATTGAGCACAGGTGAAGTGAATGAGAACGATCAGTAGACACTCTCAGGATCCAATGCTGCTCCCCCAGCAGACTACGGAGAAGTACAGTGCACTGACCACAACAAACTGGTAAAACATCTCCAACATCTTGGTGCACACGTTGAAGGATCAAAGTTTCCTCACGAAAAAGAGTCGACTCCTCCCCTTCTTGTACACAGCATTGATGTTGGCCTTCCAGTTCAGTCTGTTGTTAGTGGAGACACCCAGGAACTTGTACTCCACCATGTCCACATCCTCTCCCAGAACTCTCAGCAGTTGTGGAGCCGTCGTCTTCCTCCTGAAGTAAACCACCATCTCTCTGGTCATGGCCACGTTCAGAAGCAGGTGATTTCTACCACAAAACAGTGGTGGGCCGTCAGGGCCAGAAAGGCCTTCTCTGCTGGCCTAAACAGAATCAAAAAGTTATAGCTATTTTATAATTTAATAATTTTTCTTAAATACACTACAGGTATTATAATTTATACAAATATTTTTCCCATTATCTTATTTTCTCATTGCACAGCTACTGTCTTCCTCAGTTGCTCTGCTTCCAGTGCAGCTTGTTTTAAGTAGAGCTTTTATCCAATCAGATCTCACCTCTGTGTCTCTAGGTAAGAACAGAGGCAGAGGCCTGCAGACTCACAAGTGAATCCATGTGCAGTTTAAGTGAATGTGGACGATATTGTTGATTGTCATAGTGTTCAACCAATCAGATCTTTAGTTTGACATGTTGGGCATATTCTTTGACGTGTCATGGCCTGCTAGCTGGCCTACAAGTACGTCAGCATTAACGAGCAGCTCAGTTTCCAGGTGCAGCTCTGTAGTGAGGTGCAGCGTGTGCTGTGATTGGTCAGTGGGCGAGCACGTGACTATTGTGAAACGAAACTTAAAGTAGCCATCAGAGGCTTAGCCGGAGTAGTGAGAGTTCAAATTGAAAGATATGGAAGAAATTATGACATTTTTAGCATTTTGCTTGGTGTAGATTATTTTTTTTCACCTAGCTGTGTTTTTTTAACACTCAATGGCTGAAGGAGGAGAAACGGATTTGTGAGTTGGGATTTAACCGTGGGATTAAACTCTTTGTCAACAAAGAAAGGAGGATGGAGTTTGTCTTTAAGTGAACAGCATTTGGTAAGTCAACTGCGTTTGTTTTTTTACATCTAATATCTGAATGGCCCTTGAGTGTGTAGATGTTCCGCTGCAGGTCTGCTGGGTTGATTTGTTGCTCTGTTGTCATATGAATATATGTGACTGGTTCTTGTGAGTTTGTTGTTGTCAGTGTTAATTATATTGATTTGGACTGTATGCATTGTCCGTTAATTACGAAGCATACCGTCATGCGCAGATTTATTGTTTGTTAAACTAGTTTAGCGTAGTCTCCCAGAAGTGCGGTGCCTCAGCTGTCTTTAGTTTTGTTTTTCAAACTGTGGTCTGCCTGTGAAGTAGTCAGTGATCCAGGAGACGGTGGACGTGTCTACCCCCACCACCCACAGCTTCTCACTCAACAGCAGTGGTTGGATGGTTTTGAATGCACTGGAGAAATCAAAGAAAGTGATTCTCACAGAGCCACCGGTTCCCTCCAGGTGCGATTGAGCTCGTTGCAGCAGGTAGATGATGGCGTCGTCCA